CATTCACTTATATTCTTTTATTCAATGTGAAATCCGGTCTAGTCTAATTTTAAGTAAAAAACAATCCGTATAGTCAATAAATAGATTTATAGTTTATCTAACATCACATTTTGACGATAAAACAGGAAAAAAACAACAAAGGCGTTCAGAATCTCTTTAAGCCACAATTATATTTTCATAGTAAAACGCCTGTAACATATGCTACACCGCCAGACAAGACTGCGCGCGAAAGCACTCGCGGAAAACCGTCCGTAAAGTCGTGCACTCGTTTGTGCTTTCGCCGGGAATCGATTCCCGATTCAGCGATTTTCGGATCTATATTTTTCTCTTGCATTCATTTATTTATTTTCCGTAGGGGGGTTAAAGGGGTATTGAAATTAAATCTCAAAATATGAGATTATTTCATATTTAAAATCTTGGCCGTGTCCAAGTAAAAATTTGGTGCCTTGTGCACCGGTATTTAATTCTAACGAAAAATTATTTAGTTTCGTTAGGATAACGCATTGTCATCCGCGATTTGGCTCTTGTTGCCCGTCTTATACGTTAAATTTTATATTTATATTACAGAGCCTTGTTAAAACTCTTATATTTGATACACGCTGGCTTAAAAAATGCGTTTGTTTACCAACATTAATATATATAACAGAGAAAAGTATAGAATCGAAAGGATCTGAATAGCTCAGCTGGAAGAACAGTCGCCCGGCAAGCGAAAGGTCTCGGGTTCGATTCCCGATTCAGCGATTTTTGGATCTATATTTTTCTCTTGCATTCATTTATTTATTTTCCGTAGGGGGGTTAAAGGGGTATTGAAATTAAATCTCAAAATATGAGATTATTTCATATTTAAAATCTTGGCCGTGTCCAAGTAAAAATTTGGTGCCTTATGCACCGGTATTTAATTCTAACGAAAAATTATTTAGTTTCGTTAGGATAACGCATTGTCATCCGCGATTTGGCTCTTGTTGCCCGTCTTATACGTTAAAATTTATCTTTATTATTATTTTTTAATATTGCATTTACTGGATTATTTTCTTTTTCAGCATCATCAGTCTCATCCCAGATAACACAATATTGCATGAATATTCTATGTAGCATCAAAAATATTTTTTTGAGAATATTCTCAAAGAAATCATCTATACATCTCTATAGAATATCCTTGTTTATAAAGAATAATCTATAAATCTACCTAGAACATGTTAAAATCAGCTATAAGAATATATTGTTTATATTCCATAAATGTTCACAGAATATTCAAATATATTTAAGATGTAGATGGCGTTCAGAAATCATTTATTATCTTTTTTCCGCTTTTATTAATAAGTACATACAGTCCGTTGAGTCCGTTCATAGTATATAGTGTACGATAAATAAAAAGTGTGTAAGCTTGTACAAAAAAAGAAGCTCTTATTGAGAAGGTAAGTATATATTAATTGTTATCAAAAACAATAAATATTATTATCATTTCCTCACGTTGTATTATTTGTTTACAGTGATAGATTTTCTAACCCTTGATTTCTTACAAGCTCTTTTAACAATTAATTTATCATTAAGAATCCCACATTAATTTTTCCAAGAACAAATATAATGAAACGTCGTAGTAAAGCGACTTTTTATAGAAATGTTAAAAGAGAAAGCGCAACATGTTTTACATTATCACAGGAGAATTGTAATAATTCTAAATCTGATTGTATAAATGATAATGTTTTAATTACAAAAAATACAGATTTCCAATGTAATAGTACTTATAAAACAGAGGACTGTTTTAATACAGATTGCTTTAATGTTTTACATGACTTATATAGCCTATTTTCTGATAACTCTGATAATGTTATTAAAAATGATACTCCAATATCACAACAAAATATAGAAAATCAAAATTTACATAATCAAAGTAATAATTTTATTAATAAATTACGATCACATGGGCAATATCATATAATATTTCACATAACGCCTTACGAAGTTTATTAAATTTATTAAAATTAGAAACAAATATTTCTTTGCCTCAAGATCCCAGAACTTTACTTTGTACTCCTCGACATGTACCCTACAAATCTGTAGGTTCAGGCACTTATGTACACATGGGAATTCAATTTGCAGTTCAAAATTTAATTAATTTGTTAGAAAAACAGCCAGAAAAAATTAATTTGTTTATTAATATTGATGGTTTGCCTTTAAGCAAAAGTTCCAGTAGTCAGATATATCCAATATTATGCTCAATATCTGAATATCCACAATATGTATCTGTGATAGGTATCTATCATGGTTATGAAAAACCTAATGATGTAAATTTGTTTTTACAAGATTTTACAGATGAAGTTATAAAGTTATCGGAAGATGGTTTTATTTATAATAATCATGCTATACCATTTGCAATTAAAGCATTTATATGTGATGCTCCAGCAAAATCACTCATTACTTCTTGCAAAGGTCACACTGGATTTTTTGCATGTACTAAATGTATGCAAAGAGGAAAATATATAAAAGCCAGAGTGTGTTATCTTGAAATAAATTATTTTGAAAGAACGGATGAAAATTTTTGTAATAGAGTTCAACCTGAACATCATACAGGAACATCAATTTTAGAAACAATACCTTCGATTAACATGGTAAAAAGTTTCCCTCTTGACATGCATTTAATATGCCTTGGCGTAGTAAAAAAACTAATAAATATATGGCTCTTTGGACCTATTTCACATAGATTATCAAAAACCAACATACAATCTATTTCAAGTTATCTCATTGAAATAAAATCTTGTATTCCTCCTGATTTTGTAAGAAAAACCCGGTCTTTAAATGAAGTTGCACGCTGGAAAGCAACTGAATTTAGATTTTTTTTATTGTATTGTGGTCCAATTGTTTTAAAAAATATCCTTTCATCTGACACAAAATACTTACATTTTATATTTTTACATATTGCTGTTAGAATTTTAATTAATGCTAATTTATATACAAAGTATTAAGAATATGCATGTTCATTATTAATATATTGTGTGAAACAATTTAAAGTCATTTATGGAGCAAAATACACTTCACACAATGTACATGGATTAATTCATGTTGTTGATGATTGCAAAGTTTTTGGACCTTTAGATCTTTACAGTGCATTTCCTTTTGAAAATTACATGCAATATCTAAAACGATTAGTTAGAAAATCTCATTATCCATTAGCACAACTTGTAAAGCGTATTCATGAGTCACAAAATATATTGATAACTAAACTGTCAAAAAAAAATAAAATTGCAAATGGTACTAGAACATCATGAAGGTCCTTTACCTATGACACATTTTTCTGCTCAATTTAAAAAATTGATTATAAATAATGTGTCGTTTAATACACGTTTTGGAGATAATTGCTGTTATTTAAAAGATAAGAGTATTATGTTGATAGAAAATTTTGCTATAAAAGATAATAAGTACTTCATAATTGGGAAAAAATTTATTAATATAACAAGTTTTATTTCTGAAGCATTTCAATCTTCAAATTTTGATATATTTTCAGTACATGAACTTGGAGAATTATCTATGTCACTAGTGGAAGATATTTCCAACAAAATGATAATTTTCCCATATAATAATACTTATGCTGTGTTTCCTCTCCTTCATACATTATGTTAATAATATAAATGTGTAAATGTATATATCTTATGTAAATACGATATTGAGAAGAAATCTATATTAAATATTATATAAGTAGTTATAGTATATTAAATATTATTAAGTGTGTTGCATGTTAAGCTTTGTTAACCAAATGAGAATGAAAAGAGTTTTGTAATTATTTCGACTTCAGACTAACAATAAGAATATAAGATATATAGTTGCCCAATGGAGTGGATAGTAGTACATTTTATAGAAGAAAATTTAGTCGAAGCTGTACCGGTCGCATGGGTGCATGATGATATGTGTTATTGGCCACCGTACACTGGTACACTGGCAAAAAATTAATTCATTCTGTCGCAGTATGTGAAAAACCAGTATTCGGTGTATGGCCATTATTTAAAATTCGAAAAGTGGGAAGTGGACGTACCTATAGTAAATGATATTTAAAGAATTAATTTGTTATAAAACATTTAGTTGTCATATTTATTTTTGTTTTATAAGTAATTATTACGCATACTATATATTGCATTCTTTCGTTATAGATGATTTAGTAAAAGCAAGAGCAAAGACGTGTACAGCAGAAGACACATCAGATTTGACATCAAATCCTGAAAGAAAAAGAATTCGGAAAAAGAAAAAATATCTTTATGATACAAACGAATCACAAAGTTCATCAACTAATAAAAGTTCATCGGATGATGAAATTTCAAATTCAGCAGATTTTCCTACTCTACCTGATTCTGATAACACAAGTAAGTTTTCAAAATCCATGTAAAAAATATTTTACACACACATCTCATTAGACATCCTGTGTGTATGCAATGTACACACGTGTTTGGACACAAATTGAAATCTGTCTGTCATTCCCCTTGTGCCATACCGCTACTGTATCACGTGTACTTACATACACGCGCTCGATCTCACAAACACGCAAGGCAAGCTGATACCCCTCCTCCGAACCAAAATATTATCGAGTTGTATCCTTCGATATACATTGTCGGTCAGAACAGTCAGTCTGTATTGGATTCTTGTCGAGAGCGTTTCTCTTAATAAAGAACGAATTTATCGAAACCTTTCCTTTTCTCGAGTCTCAACATTCCGACGTCTCCAGCTAAAGTAACAGTTCGGTTTATAACGGATAGTACGTAAATCGTTTTCAAGTGAAAGTTTATACATGGTCCTTCGAGCCGGATCGCCGAAAGTTCGTCGCGAGTGACTTTCTCGGCGAAAATCCACCGGAAATTTGAGACTCCTCAAGAATCGTATCGAACATTAAAAAAGTCGCATCAGTACCTCCGAAAGGAAATAGCGAGTGCAGTTTCAGTGTACGCCACCTCCGTACCGAAAAAGGGTATTTAGTGTGAGATCCCTATTCGAACCCCAACTGATTCGTCCGAATAATGGCCTCGATCGAGAAGATCATGGAACGTCAACACGTCCTATTCGGCCTTATCACGCGTTCGGTCGAAAATCTGAAAAAACTCGGACCGTCCCGAATAAATCGCGGCAATGTGCAGAGTCGCATTGAAGCATTAAGGGTTAATTGGGATAAATTTCAAGCTCACGACGAGAATCTCTTCACCTCGATCACCCCCGAACAAAAGACACTGCCGTACTTCAAAGATGATCTCTATTCCATGTGCGAAGAAGCTTTCATAGACGCGCACGGCTACATGCTCAACATCCTCGAAAGCCTAGCTCCACCAGTTCCTCAAAATATATCTGCCGCCGAAGCATCGTTGAGCACATCTACCGGGTCGCGATCTCGACGGCTACCGCGCATCGACATACCGAAGTTCTCAGGCGACTACTCAGAGTGGAGTCACTTCCGGGATCTTTTCACGTCAATTATCATAGACAATTCCGAGCTCTCAGAAATTGAAAAACTCCATTACCTCAAAATGAGCCTTTCTGGCGAACCTTCACAACATCTAAAAAACATCGCAATGACTGGTGAAAACTTCACTCGCGCGTGGGAAAATCTCATCTCTCGATATGAAAATAAACGAATTCTTATCGACGCTCAACTAACGTGCCTCCTCGCGACCCGAAGAATAAAAACAGAAAACGCAGCCGATATCAAACGGCTCCTTGGCGATACTAAGGAAGCCATCGGCGCGCTTGAAACTCTCGGTTGTCCCGTAAAACAGTGGGACCTCATTATCGTTTTTTTAATGGTTCGAAAGCTTGATGCCGAATCGCTGAAGAGATGGGAAGACTCACTAGGAGCCAAAACAGATCCGCCTTCGTTCGCGGACTTCGAGACCTTCCTTTCAGCCGCATCTACACGCTCGAAGCTCTCGAAAGATCGCTGCCTCGAAAACAACAAATAAATTCGTCAACCTCGCGACCTTCAGGCGCACGATCATATATCGCTACCGCGCCGGAACAAAAGTGTGTGTTGTGCGCCGCGGGACACTACCTTTCGTCGTGTTCCAAATATCTAGAGAAGCCATACGACCAACGACGAGGGTTAGTCCTATTGAAGAATCTCTGTTTCAATTGCCTTGGGCCTCATCAGTTAAAAATGTGTCGCAATACAAAACGCTGCCGAATCTGTCGAAAGCAACACCACACAACGTTGCACGCACCGAACAGCAACAGCGATACCGTCGCGAACATAACTCCCGCAGCGTCCATCTCAGCGGCTCAACCAACCGCTCACGCAAGTACTCTTCAAGAAGCAAAGCACACTAACCAGCTCAACATCAACCAATCCCAAGACTATCAAGCTTCAAGCCATCTCTCGCAATCAAGAACCAGGCGTCGCGCCCCTGCTCTGTTAGCTACCGCCGTAGTAAGAGTTCTATCTCGACACGATCAATCATCGCAACTTCGAGCGTTACTAGACCAAGGATCAGAAGTGTCATTCATCTCTGAATCCGCTGCTTAATCACTAAAGCTCCCGCGTCGCTCCGCGGCTATCCCAATTGTCGGTATCGGTGCTCAACGAAACAGCGTTTCAAACGGCATCGTACAACTCCGTATCGCCTCACTGTATGATTCATCGATCTATTTCGAAATTGACGCTCTCGTTTTACCGAAATTGACGGCATATATTCCACCCGCTCAACTCGAATATAAACAGTGGCCGCATATTCAAAATCTTCAGCTCGCGGATCCAAACTTTGCCACGCCCGGAAAGATTGACCTAGTACTCGGATCAATAGTTTATGCTCAAGTCCTCAAACAAGGTCTTTGCCGCGGACCTATCGGAGCACCCATTGCTCAAAACACAGCTCTTGGGTGGATTTTATCAGGCCCGCTTTCAACTAGTGAAGCCTCCATCGAAGACGACTACTCTCTCAATGGAATGCAATGCTCGCTTGACTCCGAACTGCTCGATCTCTTACAACGCTTCTGGTCTCAAGAAGAAATAATCCCTCGACCTCAAGTCCCGCTCACGCCAGAAGAATCTCAATGCGAAACTCATTTCGAATCGACTCACTCTCGCGACATACAAGGACGATTCGTGGTTCGGCTCCCTCTCAAAAGGAACATAAGTGATTTTGGTGACTCTCACACGTTCGCTCAGAACGCTCTCCTCCGAATGGAACGCCGGTTCAACTCGAATCCGTCCCTCAAATCAGCTTACAGCGACTTTTTACGCGAATACCACGATCTCGATCACATGCGGATTCACAATTCATCCGAAAAGTGTCACCAACGCGAGTTCTTCCTGCCGCATCGCGACGTTACTCGCGAAACTAGCGCGACAACGAAACTACGCGTAGTGTTCAACGGTTCGCAGAAAACGACTCTCGGTTTTTCACTAAATGACGTGCTTCATGTCGGCCCGAAACTGCAAACCGATCTCTCAGACATTCTCATTCGATGGCGCAGACATCAATACGTGTTCGCAGCTGACATCGAAAAAATGTATCGTCAAATTCGCGTTCACGAAGACGACTGGCCACTACAAAAAATCCTTTGGCGAAACGACCCGAGTGAGACTCCGCAAGAATATCATCTGTGCACAGTAACATACGGTCTCGCGTGTGCTCCGTATCTCGCTCTGCGTTGCCTGCAGCAACTCGCTTTCGAATCAGATTCTCCGCGGGCGCTTGCTGCCGAAATCTTACGCCGCGATACCTATGTGGACGACGTTCTCTCCGGCGCATCAAGTATATCTGAAGCTAAAACACAGATCAACCAACTAAACGAATCCCTCATAGCTGGCGGGTTCCATCTCAGAAAATGGATCTCCAACGACCCTGAAGTTCTAGCTGACATTCCTCATCAAGATCAAGCGTCATCTCCAATCCTCTCAGTCGACGATCGAACGATACATCATACACTCGGTGTACAATGGCATCAACAATCCGATCGCTTCGTGTTCTCAGCACCATCGCCACCACCAGCTGGATCCCTGACGAAGCGGTCAGTGCTCTCCTTCACTGCGAGCATGTTCGATCCGCTCGGATGGCTGGCACCAATCGTCATTGTCGCTAAGATGTTCATGCAAGAGCTCTGGGCAATTCGCCTTGATTGGGATGAAGAGCTTCCCGAAAACCTCAAATCGCGCTGGATCAATTTCACTCAACAACTCAAAAACGTGACAACGATCTCAATCCCACGCTGGGTCGGCATAACTACGTCATCCCTCGCGATCGAACTCCACGGATTCTCAGATGCATCACAGAACGCCATCGCTGCTGTGGTCTATCTGCGCGTCATAAACGAATTCGACGACATCTATGTCACCCTTATCAGCGCCAAAACCAAAGTAGCACCTCTGAAACGCATGACGATTCCGCGCCTCGAGCTCTCAGCTGCCGTAATCCTCGTCCGACTAGTATTCAAAATTCGCAACGTGCTCCAAATTCATCACACGTCAACTCATCTCTGGACCGACTCTACGGTCGCTCTAACATGGATCAAAGGTCACCCATCACGTTGGAAAGATTTCGTTCAGAATCGAGTCTCTTTCATTCAAGAGCTCTCGAATTCTCGCTGGCATCATGTCTCCGGAACGGAAAACCCAGCGGACCTAGCATCTCGAGGGATACCTCCCCACTCGCTTCCGCATGCTCAGCTCTGGTGGAAGGGACCCTCTTGGCTACAACATCACTCTTCATCTTGGCCATCCCTGACTCCAAAGATCGAATCAACAATAAATCTAGAAGAGCGTCCTGTCTCTTGTACCCTCGCTAACGAAAAACCAGAAGTTGACCTCGGAGATCTCATCGAAAGATACTCTTCGCTCACCTCGCTTCTACGCACCACAGCCTGGCTCTTACGGGCGTTTGAGCGCTTCCGAAAATCCACAGCACATAGACCACATCAAGCGGTCCTGACGCCTTCCGAGTTAGAATCCGCATTACTACTGTGGGTAAAATTAACTCAACAAGCCTACTTTTCGAAAGAATTCCGAACATTGAGAAACAACAAGCAACTCTCTCCCTCAAGTTCCCTACTGAAGCTCTCTCCTGTCCTAGACGAAACCGGACATCTCAGGCTACGTGGAAGACTTCACTTCTCTCAACTGGAGCCATCAGAAAAACATCCGCTCATCTTACCACGAGATTCTCGACTAACAACGCTCATAATTGATTACTATCACAGGCGCTCATTATACGGCGGACCGCAGCTGACGTTATCGTTAATACGGCATAAGTTTTGGATTATCGGTGGACGAACTCCTATTCGCTCATTCATCCATAACTGTATTACGTGTGCCCGTCATCGCGCCGCCGCCAGTCAACAACTCATCGGACAACTTCCAGCTTCTCGTGTCACTCCATGTCGACCATTCTTCAATACCAGAGTCGATTATGCCGGTCCTTTGACTCTAAAGTCATTCCGCGGACGCGGAGCGAAGACAGTCAAGGGATACTTCATAATTTTTGTTTGTTTTAGTACCTCAGCTGTTCATCTAGAAGTAGCTACCGACTACTCAACTGATGGATTTCTAGCTGCTTACAAACGATTTACCGGACGAAGAGGCCTATGCTCAACAATCACGAGCGACTATGGGACCAATTTCGTCGGCGCAGCTTCCGAGTTGAAAAAATTGTTCACCGCTTCCTCTAAGGAATGGGCTCACATTGCTAACATTCTCGCCAACGATGGAGTAAAGTGGAGCTTTAACCCTCCTTCGGCTCCACATTTTGGCGGAAAATGGGAGGCCGGAGTAAAATCCGTCAAACATCACCTCCGTCGAGTGATCGGCGAGACCCTGCTCACCTATGAAGAATTGTCAACACTATTGATTCAAATCGAAGCAATCTTGAATTCGCGCCCGCTCTCGGCCCTCTCAGACGATCCTTCTGACTCCGTCGCCTTAACACCAGGACACTTCCTCGTCGGGAACTCTCTCACGGCCGTTCCAGAACCATCCCTCATCGATCTACCTCAAAATCGACTATCACGATTACAAATGCTTCGTCAAATGACAGAATCATTTTGGCGACGTTGGTCGTCGGAATATCTACACGAGCTCCAGACATCATCCAAGTGGCATCGAAAACAAGAAAAGTTTCAAGAGGGCAGCCTAGTAATAGTCAAGGACGAACGCTTCCCTCCGACCAAATGGCCCCTCGCGCGGATAATCGAAACGCATCCCGGCTCAGACGGACTAGTCAGAGTAGCTACAGTAAAAACTGCTACCACTACTCTAAAGCGACCGATCGTAAAATTGTGTCTTTTACCGAACGTTACAAAACAGTGAGAATCAAAGGAACTCGACTGACGTTTAGTTGTCATTATGGTCTTGACAAGGCGGGCGGAATGTTTGGACAAAAATTGAAATCTGTCTGTCATTCCCCTTGTGCCATACCGCTACTGTATCACGTGTACTTACATACACGCGCTCGATCTCACAAACACGCAAGGCAAGCTGATACCCCTCCTCCGAACCAAAATATTATCGAGTTGTATCCTTCGATATACATTGTCGGTCAGAACAGTCAGTCTGTATTGGATTCTTGTCGAGAGCGTTTCTCTTAATAAAGAACGAATTTATCGAAACCTTTCCTTTTCTCGAGTCTCAACATTCCGACGTCTCCAGCTAAAGTAACAGTTCGGTTTATAACGGATAGTACGTAAATCGTTTTCAAGTGAAAGTTTATACAACACGCATACACACAGAGTGTTCGATAAAGGAATAGCACACTACTCGTGCAGTAAAAAACATAGATTAAATTGACTAGAAAAATATTTTGCAATTTTTGCAATAATTAACAAGAAATTAATTTATGTAAAGATCTGCGAATGAATGTATACATTTTAATTATTACAAACATTACAAAATGTTACAGAACTTTTTCTGCTCATGAAAGATGTAATGCGTGTTATGAGACACTCATAAATATTTTTAAAAAATAAAATAAAA